CTTTTATTCAATTTTGACATCAGATGAAAAATGGATTCAGTATGGCTGTTCTAAAAGAAAACATCAGCTCTCACATCCGCCTTACAGCCCAGATTTGGCACCATCTGACTATCATTTGTTCCGGTCCATGTAGCATCATCTGGAGGAGAAGAAGTTCAAAAACGACGAAGAAGTGAAAATTTGGGTGATCATAATATAATTAACATTTTGTCAATTGACCACTTTTTGATATCTTTAACAGAAAAAAATTATATACGGGTTTCTGCGTATTTTTCGATGCGTTTTTCTCAGTAAACCTCAAAACTGAACCCAACTCCTGTCATACTGTATACAAGAGGTGCCAAACAGGAAATCACATTGAAATATCGATTTATTGATCGAAACTTGGCCGATTTACCAAAAACCAATAATTCGTTCGACTCATTCGAATATCCAATTTGATATGATTTTTATTGAATAATAAATAAACTCTGCATTAGAATTTTTTGAATTTCCAGACTTTCGAAAAGTCTAGTCTCTACGTAGACTACAGAATTTTCACTCATCGGTAACAAGATTTTCCCAGTCAACCGGAAATATTTCTTCGAAAATAATGAGGTCATTTTTTCACTTTTTCCTGTCCTCATTTTGTTATTTTGTCTATTTTCACGTTTTATCAACTGAAAATTTATCATGGCTGTAATTGTGAATTCTACAGTAACCCTGACTTTTTTATTTGGACAGTTCAATTGTTGGCTCAATTTTTATCTACTTTTCGCGATTTTTTACAAGAGAGAAATTCCGAAAAAATCAGAATTATCATTGATATACTGTAGATTTGGAATCGATATGGTTTATACATTTTTTGGGGAGTTGAGAGTTAAAAAATTCAAAAATTCGAGAAATCCAGAAATTCAGAAACTCAAGATTTCAGAAATTCCGAAAATCTGAAAATTTTGAATGTTTGAATTCCAGAACTTCTGGATTTCTGAATTTCCGAATTTCTGAATTTCCGAATTTCTGAATTTCTGAATTTCTGAATTTCTGAATTTCTGAATTTCTGAATTTCTGAATTTCTGAATATCTGAATTTCTGAATTTCGGAATTTCTGAATTTCTGAATTTCTGAATTTCTGAATTTCTGAATTTACGAATTATGAGTAACTGATACTCGGAATTTCAGGATTTTCAAATTTCTCAACTTTTGAATATTTTATCTTTAAATTTCTAAAAATTTTCAGTTTCCCTGAGCATGCTCTATTTCTTGGTCCATCAATTTTTTCCGGATTTTGCCATTAAAAATCTCATATTTTTTATAATCTGGCCAGCACTAATTCTGGGAACGATTAGAGCTAATTTAGTTCTTCTAATTACTTTCGACAGATGTTTGGCAGCAAATTTCCCAATTTTTCATCATAATTATCGCTCAAAAATTCCTATCATTCTAATTATCTCAATTTTTCTAATTTACACAATTTTCGAACATTTCGTTCTATTTGGATTTTGTGATTTCACTTTGAATGTTCCAATTAATTGTGATACTTTAATTTGTTCAGTTAACTTGTGTTATTATAATTATTGGCTGCTCTATGAGCAATTAGTTTATGTTTTAATTGGATTTTTCACAATTTCTTTGGGTTTTTGACTTTTTGTTTGGAATAATTTTATGGAAACTGCAACGACAAATCATGTGATTTCAAAAGTGAGTTTTCGAAAAATTCAATATTTTGAAAATTCGAAAAACGGTTTTTTCTTTTTCAGGCAACCAGAATCGCTCTTCTGGATTCAATTATAATATGCTTTTTCGATATCATTCCAACGATTTTATTGGCTCATTTCCCAGCTCTCAGCTTCCCAAATGTTGGTCCATTAAGTGCAGTTTCAAAAAATTCGGGATTTTTAATCGAAGGAATTATTATTTGCTTTTTCTTATTTCGAAAACCAAAAACTACAAGTGTACAAGCCTGGTCGTCCTCTCGGATTTCAAGAAGTTATTGATTTTTTTTTTCTTTCATATTTAATTATTTTAGTGCTATTTTTTCTAATTTTTTACATTGAATTCGCAATTTGTATATTTTTCATAAAACATCATTTTTGAAATTATTTTTCAAATAATAATTTCAAATGAATCCTGTTCAATTTTTATTTTGAAAAAAAGTTACTCATTTAACATTTTTTGCTCATTAGAGTGTGAAAAAAAGTCATGGGATTTTTTTGGGTACACTGTGAGCAAAGTACACATTTTATCAAAATTTTGTTATCTGGATGAGTAAGAAAAAGGGCAAAAAAGAAGTAGAAAGTTGAAATTTATAAGTATGGAAAACACAAAAAAACAAAATTTAAATTCTGGAAAATAGCGAAATTTGAAATTTTCAGGGCTTTTTTCAGAATTTTCAAGGAATTTTTGCTTAAAAACGGCATATGTGAACAAAAGTGAAGCTTTATTTTTCTTAGTGTACTCTGAAATTTTCAGACAAACTGAAAAAATTCTGGAACATTCTTTCCGACTTTCAATTTTCACTATTTTTCACCAGGGTACTGTATTTTTTTTTCAAATTTGAAATATTTGTTTATTTTTCACAAGTCAACAAATCACACATTTTTTATTCTCTTGACTCCTTTTCGCCTCTGAAATTTTCAGTTTTATCAAAAGATATTAGGTTGGCAGGAAAGTAACTGTCCATTTTTGAATTAGTAAATAAAACAAAAACAAGATTAATCCAAGATTGACAGTATGTACCGTCGTGATCCACAACATGTTTTCAACATTTAGGTAACTCGTGGATACCATCCCTCCAAAAGCCGGCTGGGCGCGAATCAAAGTATTACTGTAGCACATTTTTTTTCTCATCGATAATGTTAAAGTCCTTACGCTCCAGATGAAGTCGTATATCTTCGAATAACCAATAATCAGATAAAACAAAATCAGAACTTTCACCGGGGTAAAGGAGAACCGTCCATCCAAAGCGGTTCAGGTACGGCGTGACTTTCCGTGAACATGCGGTTTTTTTCATTTTTTAACGACAGGCAAGTCAGACCTGAGCCGCTTCAGCGAGACGGTTCTCCCTCACCTAGTTATAGTCCTGACTTGACTCTATCAAATTATAGGTTATTCGGAGATATACGAAGTCATCTATAGGGTGATGAATTTTGCACCATTTATGAGAAAAAACTAAAAAAAAAAGAATTCTTCGATCCGCGGCTAGCTCGCTTATGGAGGAAGGGTATCCACAAGATACCTGAATGTTGCCAACATGCTATGGACCACGACGGTGCATACTGCTAATCTTGGATTAACCTGGTTTTTTAATTATTCACAATTAAAACAAGGGACAGTTACTTCAATAAAACTGAAAATTAAAAAAAAAGTTTCTAGAAAAGAACCCAAGAAAATAATAAGTTTGTTGATTTTTGAAGCATAAAACGTATGAAACGCTACAAAAAATTTTCTAGTTTCCTGGAAATAATCCCAAATTTTTTTTGGAAAATGTTCAAAAATTTTTTGAATCTAATGAAATTTTGAAACATCCGTGTACTGGTTTCGGAAATTGAAAGATTCATTTATAATGGAAAACGAATACATTGTTTATTTAAATAGATAAAGAATATGAAAATGATCTTCAGAATTCAAATCCTGTGTCTCCCTGGATCTGGACTCACTCTCGTTGTTGCTTCAGGTTTTATTAATTCTTTAACGAGTTTCATTCCTTTGAATGAAGCAAATAGAGTGATAACATTTTGTCTGTTACAAGTCAGGTAAGATATCTGAATGATAACTGGAATAGAAAATACATCCCATATACGAGTGGAAATAATCATAGTTTTGAAGTTGTCAAAATGAATAAATAAAAAATAAGGTGTGTATATCTTTAATAAATGCGAGGGTATTGGACTTTTGGATTCTTGCAATCTTACCATTTTTACAACCAAAACAGTAATTGTTTGCGAGAAAATGTAAATTTGAGGTTTCGATTCCTGAACTGATCTCAGATGGGACTTCTTTTGAACACTTATCAATATAGGGATGTACAGAAGAGCAGAAATAAAGAAAGATATATTAAGTGTAGCGAAACATATCTTAATGAAGAGAAAGAATTAATTTCCATGAGAACACAAAACCCCACCACATCAAAATCAATAGCTAGCCATACGAGTTCAGTGCCTTTTTCATCCTTTTGTAGTAGCTTTTTCGAATTAAAAAAAAATAAAATTCTACTGATAACGTCTTTAGAAATGAACAAGTAGTAGACATATCGAATGAAATAGTGCATGTTCTTGCTAGATAAAACTATGTATTTTTGAGAGGATGGGTAGAAATAGAGAAGGAATTTTTGAACGGCCATGATTGTTAAGAAAAATTGGAAAACGTGAGTAAAGACTAACATAGCAAGCACGCATAAACAAAGGGCAGCTAATGGAATCCCGTACCTGCAAAAAATCGATAATCACTCTTCCACTGGAAGATCAAAAAGCATTTCAACTTACATCAGGTACGTGGAAATAGGTTTTCTGAAAAAAAAAACTATATTTTTTAGCTAGAATAATGAGAAAACAGTTACTAACTTTTGTTTTCCAAAATCTTCAATTTTCTCAAATAAGAAGAACATGAAGAACCATAGGAAACAGTATATTGCCTGTGTCTTTTTCATCATTCCATAAAAATGATCAATTAGTGGAAATAGCAACGTCTGAATTTCAAAAATTTTCAGAAAACTTTAACCTTTTAAATATATTATACATTTTTATCTCGTTCTCGATTCACTCTATTGACGTACACATAGAATGGGAACATTAATTGAAGAACAAACAAAGAGCGAAACAGAAATTTCATCAAGTAGTTTTCTTTGGAACCTTCTATTTCAGCATTTTCGAAAATATTCGGTATGAAACAAGAATACAAATCCGGTGTTCAAAAAGAATGCAGACTTATATAAGAATAAGGAAAAACGTTTTTTTTTAATGTTTCCTCGAAGTATTCTAGAAATAGCTCTTATTTTCGAGAAACTATCAGGTGAAAACTTTTTCCAGGAAAAAAAAACCAAATACTCATTAACTATTCGGTAGTTTATAGCTATAACATCTGCATGTTTAGTCTAATACTGATGAACTTTCCAGAAAAAAAACTCAGTGACAGGTGAAGAAGGCTTCCTTAGAATTCACGAATTCTTTCTCAGTTCCAGCACCCAGTTATTTCCGATGAGTGCTGTTACAAATAATTCTTCCGTATTTGAAATTCTCTTGAAAGATGTTATGGATGCACCGTTTACCAATGGAACTGTTTATGTTCGTCTATTACTTCTTATGCTATAAACTACAGAATGGCAAATAAGTATGTGATTTTTCCAGGAAAAAATTGGCACATGACATTCGAATTCAAGCAATTTTTTGAGAATATAAAACTAGATCAACAAATACTCAAGTAGCTGAAAAATCTTAAGGAAGAGGAAGTGAGGAACTTTTTTTGAAGTTCAAAGAAATCAAAAAAACATTTCCACCTGCTACTGACAGATTCTGAAAACTTGTGCAAGGGATATTTTAGGAAAAATTTCTCATAATGTTTGCATTTTCTATTAATCGGCGTATTTCCCGTAAACACTCTAATAGAACGCCACCCGAATCTCATTTTCTGTGAGATATATCAAAAAGTGGTAAACTAATGAAATATTGCTGATAATGTGATAAACATTTTACTAGTGAACAACTTTTTGATATCCTTCAAAATCAGTGAGATATATAGGCTCAAAGTGGACGGTCTGGGTGGCGATCTATTAGAGTGTTTACGGTATATTTTTGTTTCACGATTTCAGTGTTTTTGATGAACGCCACTTGAAACACATTATTCAAATGGGAAGTCTTCGGAAATGATGAAATGGATGTAATCTCTGAAGAACCCTTCGTCCAATTTTTGATTTACACTTTTATTTTTCTTCAAGTACTACTCCCATTTTATATGTATGTCAACCGAGTGAATCGAGAACGGGATAAAAATGTATCTATGGAAAAGTATGAAATTTTCTGAAAATTCAAAGATGTTTCAGACCCTGGTATTCCAAGGTTTCACGGTAATCGTAAGAGATGGTTTCTAAAAGAATAAGCTTCATGGGGACATCTAGCTAACGATAAAAATCTGAAAATTGCATCAAGGTTAAGAGAAAAGGTTATGAACAATTAGTTGGGTTTTGAGGGTGACAAGATGATTAGAATATGATAAGAGTACCTTAAGAGAGATAAGGGAAATAAAAAATAGACAAAATATTTTATTTGGATATATAAAATTATCCTCGCAGGTCCAGTATTCAAATCCTGTATCTTCTTGGATCTGGACTCACTCTAGTAGTCACTTCAGGTTTTAACAATTCTCTTATGAGTTTCCTCCCTTTAAATGAAGCAAATAGAGTGATAACATTATGTCTGTTACAAGTCAAATAAGATATTTGAATGATAACTGGAACGGAAAAAATATCCCTTGCCCGAATTTCAACACACATCATTATAAAACTATAATGAAATAAAATAAATAGAGATACAGTTAAATGAACCTTGAAAAAAATGAGATGATATTCAACTTTCGATTTTTCCAGCTCACCATTTTTACAACCACCACAGTCGCCGTTTGCCAGAAAATGTAAATTTGAGGTTTCGATTCTTGAACTGATCTCAAATGGGACATTTTTCGAACACTTATCATTATAGGAATGTACAATAGAGCAGATGCAAAGAAAATTAGGTCCGTTGAAGCGAAGCATATCTTAATTCAGAGAAATAAAATCATTTAAACGAAAAACCCGAAACCTCACCAGAGCGAAAATTTCGACGCCATCCAAACTATACTCGTCTACTTTAAGTGTTGTAACTGTATGGTAATAATATGTACCGGAACTGATAAGTTCCTTAGAAATTAATATAAAGTAGACATAATTAGTGAAAAGTTCCATATTTGCTTTGGATAGAATTATGTATTTTTGGGAGGATGGAAAGAAATATAGCAGGAATTTTTGAATTGCCATAATTGTTAAGAAAAATTGGAAAACTTGAGTGAAGACTAGAAGAACAAATGGAAACAAAGAAAGGGCAAAAATGTATAAAAGCTGGATTCTGAAAAAAAAACATGTTGGATTTTCAGAATTATACAAAAAAAAAACTAACAACATCGAGCGACCGTAAATAAAATCCGCAAGCACGATGAAGAATACTGTAAAGATGGTGAGATAATATATTGCATATGTCATTTTTAACATTTTATAAAACCTATGGACGATTGGGAATACCAGGCTCTGAAAGTGGGAATTTTCAGTAATTTGCAAACTTTTGAAAATGTACATTTTTATCTCGTTCTCGATTCACTCTATTGACATACACATAAAATGGAAACATTACTTGAAGCAAAATAAAAATACAAGCCAGAATATAATAATTCCTCCAACCGGTTCCATCAATAAAGTCGATTATATGCGAGTTAGATCGAAGAAAGGGGTTAAAAGTGGCATTCATCGAAAACACAAAAAAATGGAAGTGTGGAAAAATGAATGAGAAGTGTTTTTTTTTTCGAAGTTTAAAGAAACCAAGGAAAAACATTTTCACCTGCGATTGATATATTTTTGAAACTGGTGACGGCGCACTAATGAGATTTATTTCTGGAAAGTTCGATAGCGATTTCAAAGCACACAACTGAACACACTTCAAGACACTGAAATTGCGTCAAGGCACGGAAAACGCGTCGAAGCACTGAAAACACGCCAAGGCATTAAAAATGCGTCAAGACACCGAAAATTCTCCACGGCACCGAAAACACGCCAAAGCACTGAAAACACTCCAAAACGGGCAAGGACACTGACGCTTTTCCGTGCCTTGACCCATTTTCAGCATCCTGATTACTATTTGGTTTCCTGACGCCTTTTCCGTGCTTTAGCGTATTCACAGTGTCTTATACGTTTTTTAGTACCTTGCCACATTTTCAGCTCTTTGACGCATTTTCAGCGTCTTGACGTCTTTTCTGTGCCTTGACGCATTTCCAATACCTTGACGCTTTTTTGGTTCGAGCAGAATTTAAGATTTTGACGACTTCAGCGCTGGTGTAGGTGTGGACGGTGTGGACCAGAAGGACCAAGACGAGAAGAGAGGATTTCATTTGACTGATGGATTTTCAAAATGAAGAGTTTTGACTTTTTTCAGGTTTATAATGTGGAATAATCAAGATAAGATAAGATCAGTGGGGAAAACAACAATTTTCAAAAAAAAATCGTGTCGAAATTCAATAAAAACTAATAAAAATGTTTTCATTCCACTTCTTTTCAATCACAAATCAAATTGATAATAGATATCAGTAAAAGATCACTAATCATCATTTTCCTCACTCGACTCTATTTTCTTCGAATCCTTTCCACCACGTCCTCTTCCTCCACACAGCCAACAACAAGAACCGATGATACAGGAAATAATAATAATCAAAGCAACCGCTCCCATTGTGACGTGAAACCAGGTCTGGAAGTTCGGAATTTCAGAATTTCAAAAATTTCATACTTGTAATCCGAGCCTTTGCCGGGCCTTCGCGGGCCCTGCCATAACTTCTTTCAGAATCAATGTTTTTAAACTTACTCAATCAGATATGATAGAGCTCCACGAGTACTATAAAACGGTACTATTTGAAATACTGTATCTTTCTCAAATAGCCGACAGAGTGAAAATTTATAAAGCAACGAAAGGAATGAATAGAACCCTCGATGATAAATACTTTTCGACAGGATGTCAGCAATGTGAGTTTAGTTACAGTAGGAATCCTACTGAGGAATTCAAAAAATTTTAGTTGAAAACTTTCAGATTTCGATACGGCTGACTATGACTATGGAAATACAACGACCGCCGGGTACAAATTTTGCTGTGAGATGCTCAATTATTGCAAGTGGTATAATCAGGTATATTTTCGGATTTTCGAATTTTTCATACTTGTAATCCGGGCCTTTGCCGGACCTTCGCGGGCCCTGCCATAATTTTTTTCAGAATCGATATTTTCAAACCAACTAAATCAGATATGATAGAGCTCCACGAGTACTACAAAACGGTACTATTTGAAATACTGTATCTTGTCTATGAACAGAGTTACGGAGCAAAAGAAACAAA